AGTAGGGATCGGTAAGTGGTCAGGATGTTAGAAGAAAGACAAATACATAAGGGGTATCGAGATACAGTTACCAGTTGGAAGTCATTGGAGAACAAAGCAGTTGAGATCGCGGAACAACTGGCATGCTTTTTGGGAGGAGCAACCGTCCTAGAATAAGATCATGACATCACGAGAATATGAGCACAAAAATCCTGGAGATGGAAGAACATGGATTCAACCACTAGAAAATTGTGCAGAAGCGGTTATGGCACTACCACTATAAAATACCACCTCTCATCTAGTGGAGAGGCTCCCATACAAATTAAACAAATTTATTATTTTTTTATTTATCTTTACTTTCTCGCACTGTATTTTTATTTTCCAAAACTCGCGTCATAGATTAAATTCCGGCACGTTTTTTAGCTGTAATTTCCAAATCCACCCCGTCGATTAAATTCTGGCATAATATCTTAGCGTCGATTAATTATGGCATAATTTGTTTACGTTCGGTTTTGTCATGGAGTCTATATTTTCAGAGCATTATCGTCTATTAAATTCCAGCTCGGTTTGTGCTTGTACAGTCCCGTTCAATTCAAGTCATCGGTTTCCTTATCACCTGTGATACTTCATGTCTAGAGTCGCCACAGCACCCGTCTCCTTCAATTAAAAGTCGAAGAATGATTTTCGGCGAAAAATATTTTGTTACGGGAGAATGCTAGCGAAACACATTGTCAAATCAACGATATTATTCGATCAAATCCAAAACGCGAGTGCGGATCGGAACTAAGTTTAAATAAGCTTAGAGGATCAACACAAGGACGTACATCAGTGTCATAGGCCTAGATATTATATTATACATAGTGCCTTAGTTTGGCTTAGAGTGCATATGAGATGGAACTTTTCCTTTCTTTAATCCACGCATACAATTTGCCTCTTCGAGTGACTTGAGTGTTATAGTCTTGTTCTTAACATTACTTAGGAAGTTGCAAATCATTTGTTTGTTGACTAGGAATGGTTATCTCAAGATAGTATTTAATTGAAATGTAAAGGGGTCTTCTTCTTTTTTTAAATCTTTTTGTGACTATAGTTTGGTGAAAATGAATTTTTTTTTCCTCTCAAGAAAGTTCGCACGGGTCAAAATCCACGAATTCAACCTATTTGAGACGTACACTTATTCAGTAAGGTAACGATTAATTTTGAGTGTGCTTGTTTCGTGAATAATGAATGATTTGTAAAATATTTATCAAAAAGCAATCGCTTGTATCTCTTACAAAAATAAATGAGTAAGAGATATTTTCAGCGTCCCTGAGAATATTTAAACATAAATTATTGTCAATAATAAAAAATATTTTTCACCGATTAATTATTTCAAGCGATACGATCGATCATTTTCAAGAAAATATTTTTTTTCAAATTATGTACTTTTTCCGAAACAAACGACCAATTTAAAATGGGACAATGACACAAATGATTTATGTGGTCCTTGAACTTTCAATTTCTTCACGGGGTCCCTAGACTTCACCTCAATATGCAATGTGTTCCCTGAACTTTTAATTTGTTTAATGTGATTCCTAAGTTTTTGGTACATGTTCGATTTATTTCCTGAATTATATGAAAATATTCAATATTATCATTTCACCAATTCAAGTTTAAGAACAACATATAGTTCATGTACTAAATGGAGTATGTGCCTAAAGCCTAGGAACCGGATTCAACAAATTAAAAGTTCATAAATCACTTTGCACAATGTAGTAAAGTTCAGTATCCACATTGAACAAATTAAAAGTTTAAGGATTATATCACATATTGGGCTAAAGTTTGTGGATCATTTGTGTCATTTTTTCCGTTAAAATTTAGGCAAAAATTTCTAGCCAAGACAAAGCAGCAATCTCACGGCAGCGCCCATCTTTGTCTTCCAATTGCAACTTTTCAAATCGGTCACAAATCTGGGTTGGTTCTCGAGAATGCCCCTAGTCTCCGGTCAACAACAATCCGTATGTCCCACACCCCATTGCGCAATACATGTTCCCATATCTTTAATTATGCACGAAAATGACTACTCTTCTTTTTTTTTTCTTCCTTTTTTTTTTCTTTTTTTGTTAATACGTGCATGAACATGACTTGACGCATGAGATACGTCTTAGCCATATAAAAACTTCGTGGATGGTGCGATATTTTACAGAGCGAAAAAAGAATAAATGAAGTTTCGTTCCTCGTATCTAAGTTATATTGCAACATCAATATTTTAAGACCTTTTTTTTTTGTGTTGCCCAAATCCCTAAATCCATGTCGGGGGTGACAAAAGTTTTAGGCATTAGTGTCATAGTGGGCATCATTCAGGAGTTTTCGCGCAACGGAAAAAGAATTTGAGGTATCGGTATCATGATGAGCAAAATTTAATATTTTCGGTGGTATTATCCCTTTCGATTCGCCGGCAAACATAACAAATCGTGGTGCGATATAGAGCGACATTCGTGAAGATATCCACTTGGTCCTTGGTCAATAAACCTTATTGTGAAGCCCAATTTCGTTATGCGTCCTCCGAGGACGCATTGTTGTGGTTTCAAACTTAATGCGACTGCGTTCACAGAAGGTAACGTGTGTATGGGAGTTGACAGATTCACGTAAAAAGGCCAAAATCCCTGCCTTATAATTCTGAATCGATTCGTGTGGAAGGCAATGGACGAAGCACGAAATTAAGGAAAGAAATTGGTGCGAGGATGGGTTTCGTGGCGTAGCGAGGGCCCGATTAATTTTAATCTTTTGTGCTCGCACCACGAACGCAAATTGCATGGTGGATCGTCACGCTGTACAGAAGGTCCAATCGCGGGGTTTTGTCCCCTGGGTCGACATTCGATTCCGCTGGGTCGCATCGCTTGGCCAACACATCGATGACGCTCTTCGGAAATTGATTCGGGAGTTTTGAAAAGAGACGCGGGCAAAGCTTAGTTTAGGGTAGCTGTGACTCGTAAAGATTGGATGTGCAAATACAACGAGATAGAATGCAAAGGCAAGTCAGCAATAGGTTGTCGAGTGTGCTGTCGGGTTTCGTGCCATTCAAGACCAGGCCATCTTCGATCTTCGATCAAGCCATAAGGCTCTCGAATTGGTTCATTAATGGCAATCGAAGAATGCGATGTTTTGATTAGATCAAGGCCACGAGGCCCTTCAAAGACACTAAGCCATTGAGAAGCTCGAATCGCGTTAGAAGAAGAGTTTGGATTTGTGCTATTTCCATCTGCAATCACGACATCGAGGCTCTTGAGGGATTGTTTATTTCGTTTTGAAATTGGAGATTGTACTTAATTCTTTAGAACATACACTTTCGCCTCTTTCATATTGCAAATGTAAGTGCGTACAACACCAGAATCTCATTTATCCGGTGCAACGAAATCAGAAGCATGCGACAACACGGGAACAAATTCAATCCATCTGTAACAGCATATTCTTAATTGGCATACATATTCAACTTAATTCATTTTCGAAGTTTCGTTTAACGAGGCTTTTTGTTTGTGCTTTTTGAAAAGGGATAATGACGCAAATGATCCCTAAATTTTGGCTCAATGTACAATGTAGTCGTTGAACTTTAAATTCATTCAATGTGCAATGCCAATTCAATCCTGAATTTTTAATTTATTCAATATGATTCTTGAATTTTTGGCACCGTTCAATTTAGTCCATGTACTATGTAAAAATGTTTAATATAGTTCTCCATTAATGTAAGTTCAGGGACAACACTGAACATTTTCAAAATTGAATATGTAACAAAAGTCTAGGGACACATTAAAAAAATGGCAAAATTTCAAAAAGGGGTCCGAAATGAAATCATTTTCTCAAATAAGGGATTGAAGTAGACTTTGTGTCAAATAAGGACTTGAAATGAAGTCATTTTCTCAAATAAGGGCCTGAAGTAATCTTATCTCAAATAAGGACCTGAGGTGGCCATATCAGTCTTAAATAAGGACCTAACCTCACCGGCTAAAAGGGTATTTCGTCTTTTTACTTTTTTGAATTTTTTTCTTTCTTTTTTCCTTTTTCTGTTTTTTTTCTTTTCCTTTTCCTTTTTTTTTTCTCTCTTCTCTCCGCCGGCCATTGCCGGGGTCGGTGGAGGCCGCCCTCGCCCTCCCAGCCCAGGCGAGGCGACCCTCGCTCGATGCCGGGGAGGGCAACCCGGGTGATGAGTTGCCTTCGTCGACGTCGGGCCAAGGTTGCCTTGCCTGGGCTGGGCGGGTGAGGGTGACCCTCGCCAGATCCGGCAAGGGCAACCCTCGCCCTCGCCAGCCTAGGCGAGGGCAACCCTCGCCCAACGTCGGCGAGGGCGACCCTCGCCTGAGGCCGTCGTCGGCCAAGTGCAGTGGCCGCTGGGGAAGAAGAAAAAAGGGAAAAGAAAAAAGAAAAAGGAAAAGAAAAGAAAAAGAAAGTAACAAAAAAAAATATATATATACTTATAATTTTTTTGACTAAAATACCCCTTTTCCGGCGATAGAATAGTCATCGGCCAGCCAAAGGTCCTTATTTGAGACGATTTGACCACTTCAGGTCTTTATTTGAGACGATTTAACTACTTAAGGCCCTTATTTGAAATAATGTCCACTTCAAGCCCTTTTTTGAAACGATTTAACTACTTAAGGTCCTTATTTAAAACGATGTCTACTTAAGATTTTTATTTGAGAAAATGATTTCATTTTAAGTTTTTTTTAAAAAATTTTTAAAAAAATTAAAAATTCAGAAATGATAGGTTGAACTAAAGTTGAAGTGACACCATGATGGCCCGTCGCGGGGGGTCCTTATGAACCGGGGGGAATACGGGAATCTGGAGTGACCTCAGCTCTGACCCCACCCACATCAAGACAAAATTAAAAAAACGAAAATGAAAAAATATTAAAAAGAAAAAAAGAAAGGAAGAGGGTTGGGGGGTGGGGGGGCCCACTCCTCCATCTCCTCCATCTCCTTCGTTTTCATTTTCCATCTGAAATTACTTTTCCTCCCCGACGTGACCTCTATAAATAAAGCCAGAATCGAACCATACCTAGGCTTGAAGAACGCAACACCAAATCTTCAAACTCTCTTCCTCTCCCTTCCTCCTCTCCCTATCTCCGACCATCCGGGCCACCCGGAAACCATGGTCGGACCTCCCTTCGACGCCCTCCGGCCCCGCCCCGCCCCCCCCGCCGCCACCATCAAGTTCCTCTGCAGCTACGGCGGCAAGATCCTCCCCCGCCACCCCGACGGCAAGCTCCGCTACGTCGGCGGCGAGACCCGCGTCCTCGCCGTCGACCGCTCCATCTCCTTCTCCGGTCAGTCCCGCTTACCCGATCCGTGTGCGTCCCGTCCGTTTTTCTCGTTCGTCGATTTCGAAATGAGCTTCGTGTTCCCGTGAACAGTGTCGATTTTAAGCGTGTCGTCGTGCCTTCTGGATGCATCTTCCGATTGTAGTTGTGTAGGATTGCGGTAGCGATGCTGATTAGGGTTGTGATTCCTGCGAAATTCTGTGTCAAATTCCTGCGGAAATTCGGATTTGCGTGACACGTTTCCGATAGAGATGGAAAGGATGTGATTTAGAATGAGGTTATTTTGGTCAACAGAACTGATGTTGAAGATGGGGCAACTGTGCGGCGCCGCCGTCTCGCTCCGGTGTCAGCTTCCGACCGAGGATCTCGATGCCCTGATCTCCATCACCTCCGACGAGGACCTCGTGAACCTCGTCGAGGAGTACGACCGCTCGCCCCCGTCGTCCTTAAAGATCAGGGCCTTCCTTTTCCAGCCCAAGCCCGGCAAAAAAATATCTCCTCCTCCCTCGCCACTAGCCTCCTCGTCGAGAACGTCGTCGTCGTCTTCGCTGTCCTCCGCCGCCACCGTGACCGTCGGATCGACTCTGAGGTTCTCGAAGTGCGTGCACCAGTACATGGAGAAGCCGAAGCCGGTCGGGTTCCCTCTGTGCAAGGAGAAGTCTGCAGGGAGCAATAAGATGATGATGATGATGATGATGAGTTACCACCAGGGACACTATGCTTATGGAAACCCTGGACATGTCCATCTCATCCACAATGGCAATCACTGGCAATAACACCCCCCAAAGCTCTATCTGCAGATCAGAACTCTTATATGCCTTCGACCCAAAGTAGAAATACTTTGATTACGCCTCCACAACTATATTATATATATATTGGGAAAGAAAGAAGCGAGTGCGACATATATATATGTGAATCGTGATCATGTAATGGGAGGGAGGACTGTAAAAATCATTTATGGATCGATTATTTGTGATCCATGCCCAATCAATGAATTGTTTGCAGTCCGAATTCGTATTGGTTGGACAAGAACATATGTCTATGATGGTGAGTTCTGCTTATCCTTTTGGGGAAGTGAATCAACTCATTTTCCTTTACTTTATCTGCACAGAGCAACAGCTTCCACTTCCAAATCCATATTGGGGTTTCAATGTCCATGTTAACCTACAATCTCTTCCATTGGTCCATTTGCAAGTACCAGTTGCAGAAGTGGCCTGTCGGTTTTAGCCGTGTTGGATTTACTCGTTGACAAATTCCCTTCGTTATCCATTAGAATGGTTGTTGCATGGCTCTGTGTACTTCCTCTGTGTTTGTTCGTCCTCTTCCCTCCTGTAACGTACAGGCATCGTCCTTTTTTGCTATGGGATTGATCGTAGTAAAGCGACATATCTACTTTGTTGATATGGGTATCCTGTCAATAGGAATTTTTCTCGTGTTTTTCTTCTCTTTTTGCTTGCTTGCAGTATTATTGTTGACTGATTTTTACTCTCTTTCTCTGATATTGCTCTGCTTTGTATTTTGTCATGCTATAGGTGCCTAATGCGTTTGTTCCGTTGTGATGGTTTTGCAGGTTAGAATACTTTTTTCAATCAAGTGGATTTGAGATGCGAAGGGTGAGGGAACAGTCTTCAGCGAACTGGTTGAAATTGAAGGTGAGTTTTCTTTTGTATTCCTATTTTCTGTTTCACAGAGGAGAGGGATCGTTGCTCTTATTTGTTCATTTAGATCTTGACTATGAACTCTCATTTCTGCATCTTCGCTGTCCTAGATGTTAGCAAAATAGTCCTGTCACATATGGGTCCTGGAGTTTTTGTTGGGATTAGAACCTTTCTTTAAGAATGTTTGAGTAGAGATTTACTGTCTAATGAAGTCTCTCTTTGATTATAACTGTCGTTATTATCTATTTCATACCGGCTACTACATATGGTTCCTGAAGCTTTTTTTGGCAATTTGCTGTCCAATAGGCCTTTCTATGATCTTAACTTGATATTATCTATTTCTTTATGTAGCCGAAAGAGAAATCAGGATTGCTTTCTTTTTTTCCCCTTCTTTTTTCTCTTTCTTGGTATTGCAAGTTAATGATTTGAACAGTACTTCGGGGGAATCTGCCTTCGGAGAGGGTGGGGTATGGGTGGCAGGATGAAAACGAAAGAAGTTTCGAGTGATCTGCACTTGATGAATCATCCACTCCCCATATTCCACTTTTTCCTTGAAGGTACACATCCACGAGAGAGCAGCCACATCATATCTTGAAAAAAATGGGAAGGTCATGCATAGAGCTTTTTGATTGGTTCAGCTGAGTCATCAGTCACTGAAAAACCCAAACGTGCAACTCTGCCTACCTAAGCACAAGATCTCTGAAGAATTTTCCGAAATTCTCCTCATGAACTGTCCAAGGATTACTTGGCTCGCGTACCTTTTCTTCCCCAGGAAAACATGATATTTGAAGGCACTACACGGCATTCGAGTTTCAACCCCATAACACTTTGCTCCTTCCAGTTTATGCCACTAAAATACATGCTGATATTTTTTGCTTTCCCTTGCCTCTGATATGGAAGTGAACAAAAAATGATGTGGGTTGGTTTGTGTTTGTTTGGACAGATTCACTTAAATCGCTGGTGATGACCGGAATGCGATGGAAGGAACCAGTGGTTGTTCCACGTTCAAACAAGCACGCTGTTGCAATTGAAAGCAATTGGCAATTTGAATTGGGAGCGCTCTCCGGGGGACCATTAGCCAAGAGGCCTTCACAGCTGAAAACAACTGATTTTGGAGCAAAGACCAGAAAGATTCTTTATTCGAGCTGGATATAGATATATGGAGGTGCAGCTCCTGAACACTCAGACAAGGACATAAACTACCAAAAAAGAAAAGAAAAAAAGAAGAGGGAAATCCGCAGTTCCTGGAAGCATTGGAGATTAAAGAAAGACGCTCCACTCATGTAGCATTCAGGAGGAAGATTCTTCTTCGATGTCTTAGTTTTGGAGAGATACGATGAGGCCATAACAATTCAAGTTTGTGAAGCGAAAGGCCATTAGGAAAGTGATTTGGTGGAGGAGATTTCGATAGTGTAGTGACGCAACTGTAAGGGAATAAAGGTAAAGGCAGTTTTAAGGTTGTTCTGCCCCACCAGGCGCGATGTTGATCTCTTTTCCTTTTCTTTTCTCTTTCTCCCGTTCGAACTGGTAAAACTTAAAAAAGAGCTAAATATTAAACTGTTTCTGCCTAGTGCCTTTCTTTTTCTTCTCTCTTTTTTACGCCCAATTGAAAGAAAGGACTGGACATCTTGAGCATGGATAAGGATGTGGCCACAGGCCACCCGTGTCATGGCTCCCACACGGTACTATGTCTAGCCCGTGTCAATGAACAGAGCGTGCTTCGAGGTCCCTCCTGGACCAAAAGTAATTCAAAGATACATTATGACTGACGTGATACATTAGAAAGCTGGCCGGGTCAAATCTTCAATTTTGGTGGATTCCGTCGTCATCGAGCTTCTTTACCAATTTCTCGACGAAAGACAGGTGAAAATTCCAGCTTGGACGTATGGGTCGGATTTGATACGAGTGTATGGTGGACCAACTCGAAGCAACTCTCTCTTCAGTGACCCAAAAGAGAAACTAGGGTCCGCCCAGGAGCTGAATACTGCCATGGTCCAGAGTTTGGTTCTCATCCCAACTTACGGTTCCTTTTGGGCCCATATCTTATCCTAACCAATTGGGCAGAACAATGAATAAGCGGACAGTTGTGGAAAAGCGTCAGCAATTGATGGAGATCATGGAGGCGCATGATAATCATATGAAATGCCCCATCTTCTTAGTAGGGGTGAGCAGTTCCAGATTTCGGGTAGGTTCACCTGGAACCTACCCTCGGGTACAGGTTTCTCAAAATAAGGAACCTGGAATCTACCCGTCGGAACGTGGAATCTGGAACTTATCCTGTCACAGGTTTCAGGGTCGGTTCCAAGTTCCAACAGGTTCTTTTTTTTAATTTTGTTTTGAATTAAACAAAACGAAAATAAACGCAATAGTAGTTCATCTGAATGATACATACACAATGCCCTGATGTGATATTCAGGCGATATAATGCCAAGTTTACAAATGCCTGGATAGAACTAAACTTTAATTGCCCAATACCAATTGAAGGGGAAAGATAGGGTAACTACCTTACTGTCGGAAAATCCTCCAACACCAGCATCAGCATTCCCAAGCCCGTTATCTCTGGCAACTCTTAAAGAATCAGTTGGTGAGTCACGGACAGTATCAGACCTGATTTCGCAGGAAACCAGAAAACTCTCTTAAAAAGAAATCTTGAGGAAGACTAGGATCTGCAAAGCTAAAATATAAAGCACAAAACCCGACCTTAGCAGAGCTGGCCTCTGCAGGCTGTCCCATCGGCCAATGGTAAAGAGGGGTTTGTGTTGCACGTCAACTATGTAATATGAAGAAGCAGAACCTTTGTCAAATATGCTTCTTCCAAACCGATTTCTCGTAGCATTCACCTCCAAAGAATTACTCTCCAGCCTCTTCCACAGCCCACTCAACCCCTCTAGTTCCTTTTCTTTCTGATGAACTTCACTCACCAAGGCTTCTGCTTGGGCCTACAATTAACAGAACGACTTCTAATGTCTTCCTCCAGAAAAGTTGCCTGAATTTTTTATGTAGGAAGAAGTGCACATCACTTAAACAATTAAATTACCTGCTTTGCTACCAATTGCTCTAGCAAACTGTGTAGTTGTTTATCCAATATCTTCTCTCTGACCTGCAAAAGTCAAATATCTTTTATATTAGAGTTGTCAGTTGCTACCATTTATGCAGTTCATAGACAACTATGAAGGACTTTAGCAATAATATTAAGAGTAACATATGATGTCCTTGCTTCAGTGTTAGTTCTTTCATCGCTGCATCTCTTTTACTCAACTCTCAAGCCTCAAATATGTCCCCATCACACCCCCCAAATTCACGCAGCAGGAGAATAAAAGAAGATGAGAATGAAGATGAAAGGAAAAAGAATTATCAGTGAACGCAAAGGTAATGATGATTGAAACTGCTCTAGTAACATTTATGTTCAATTAAAACATACAAACCAATGAGCCATATGCCACTATAAGACACCATCAACACTTTAAAATCTTTTGATGCAGGAGCAACAAGAAAACCGAAGAATTCTAATAATACTAAAGCACATCTAATACAAGGAAAGCAGAGCAGATATGACCCAAGGAAGATTGGCAAGGATTTTCAAACCCAAAGGCTTAAGACACACTCAAAATATTTTCCTCCCGAATCAAACAAACAACACTGGCCAAGCAAACAACTAGGAAGTTATGTCTGCAAGCTACAAGTTTCCTCCCGAATCAATGCTCAGAGAAACCTCTACAGTAGCGCAATCGAACGGAATCTGGAAAAATACACAAAAACAATCAGTTGCTTCCCCGAGATGTTGGATATCGGATGAGTCTGCTCATTGTTTTTTTGGAATGACTTATGTATGCTCTCTGGCATAGTAATGTCTACTTTGCGTTCCCAGAGTCCCAATAGACACTCAAACAACATGAAAATTGCAAGTACTATTCTTCAGTTCTGCTCAAATCAGAAATAAATCGGCAAAAGTACACTACAAGTGCCATAACTTGTGTACGGCGATCACTTTGGTGCCATAACTTTTTTTCGGATCACTTTGGTGCCAAGTCGGAGCAAAAGAGATCACTTTAGTGCCAATTTGGCCGGAAATCCGACGTGGCATTTTTTATTAATTTTTGACGCCGACGTGGCTCGCCGGAGGCTGAGTCAGCGTGTACAGTCAGCATTTTTTTTAAAATAATTTTTTTCAGCGTGTACAGTCAGCATTTTTAATTTTAAATATTTTTTTTCTTCTTTCCTTTTTCTTTTCTCCCCTCGCCGGCCGGGGGCCGGCCGGCCAGGGGCGAAGCCCGGGAAGGGCTGGGCAAGGGCGGCCTTGCCCATGGCCGGCGAGGGGCGGTCGACCTCGCCGGCGACAGGTGAGGCCAGCCCAGGCGAAGGTCGCCCTCGCTCGACACCGGGCGAGGGTCGCCTCGCCGGATCCGGCGAGGGCAACCTCGCCGGCGCCGAGCGACCTCGCCCGCCCAGCGAGGGCTTCCTCGCCCGACGCCGGCGAGGGTTGCCTCGCCTCGAGTCGGGCGTGGCGACCCTCGCCCGACGCCGGCGAGGGTCGCTTTCACCGTGATCCGACGAGGCGACCTCGCCGGCTCGGGCGAGGGAAGCCCTCGCCCGAGTCGGGCGTGGCAACCTCGCCCGACGCCGGGTGAGGGTCGCCTCGCCGGATCTCGGCAAGGGCGACCCTCGCCCGCCCAGCGAGGGCTTCCTTCGCCCGACGCCGGCGAGGGCGCCCTTGCCTGGGCCGGCGAGGGCCGGCCTTGCCCGTCGCCGGCGAGGGTCGGCCGCCCGCCGGCCATGGGCAAGGCCGCCTCGCTCAGCCTCTTCCCGGGCTTCGCCGGTGGCCGGCCGGCCACCGGCAACCGGCCGGCGAGGGGAGAAAAGAAAAAAAAGAAAAGAAAAGAAAAAGGAAAGAAGAAAAAAAAAGGAAAAAAAATATTTAAAATTAAAAATGCTGACTGTACACGCTAAAAAAAATTATTTAAAATTAAAAATGCTAACTGTACACGCTGACTCAGCCTCCGGCGAGACACGTCGGCGTAAAAAATTAATAAAAAATGCCACGTCGGATTTCCGGCCAAATTGGCACTAAAGTGATCTCTTTTGCTCCGACTTGGCACCAAAGTGATCCAAAAAAAAGTTATGGCACCAAAGTGATCGCCGTACACAAGTTATGGCACTTGTGGTGTACTTTTGCCGAAATAAATCTCTGTCACTTATGTAGAAGTATTTGTTCCGTGGATTTGGGTTTGGGGTCTGAAACATTCAGAAGTTGAATAATTGAATTCCAACCCTCCTTCCCTCCTATCCCCTCCCTCGAGCGCAACCCAAATAAAGAAAAAGAACAAGTGCGTTACCAGTTTTTTTTTCAAACTCAGAGGTTGACATGAACCTTGCCCGGAGAGGAACCACGTCCGGCGAGAAGCGACGTCGATCTTGCGGAGAGACGAGAGGAGGAAGAGCCAAGACAGCGAGCTCAAGAGGGTGCGTGTGCGGCGGCGCGTGAGCCCGAACGAAGACGAAGACAAAGGATGTCGCTTGAAGCCGTGAAGCGAAGCCCACCTCCGCCGCGGACGAGCCAGACCGCGGTTGATGAAGACAGAGGAAGAGCCGAGGCGGACACCGAATAGAGCAAGGAGAGCCGAGGGACGATGATGGAGGATCGGGTGATTCAGGAAGAGAAGCGAGCATTTGGGAATTAGGGTTTCTAAATACTAAGTTTATGTTTTTGGTTCCGATTCCGGTTCCAGGTTCTGGTTCCCGGCTCCGATTAGGTTTCGGAACCGGAACAGCCGGTTCCTAAAAATGGGGAACGGGGAACTGGACCCTCTGTCCATGGAACCTGGAACCGAACCGGATCCACCGGGTCCGGTTCTCCGATTTCCGGTTCTAACTTGGAACCGCGCTCACCCCTACTTCTTAGGCTGCATTTGGCAAGGCAAAGCTAAAGGCCTTTGGAGCTCTAAAAAGGTCTTTAGGCCAAGGCAAATGATATTCGGAAAATTTTTTTGAAAAGTTTTGCGGGGATGCAATTACCTCTCCAGAAAGCCTCTAGCCAAAAGCAAATTTAGAGGTCATTTGGGCTTTGAGCATTTTCAATATGGTAATATATTTTTTTTCTTTTAACTTTGCCCTGGCTAAACTTTTATAATTCCGAAAATGTCATCACCTCACTTGACGTCACCGACGAGTCGTCGATAGCCTTACATGAGGCCATGCGACCTCGGCAACAAGTCGACCCCACCCCAGGTGACGGTTGCATCGCGGGAACTCAGGAGAGGGCTGTCGGTGCCAGATCTGGCTCACCGCGCAGCCCGTTAGCTGCCAGCCGGCGGCAGCTACTAAGCCCTTCGCCGGTTTTAAGGGTTTTTTCTTTTTTAAATAGCAATTTTTTTTTACAAAGTGTGATTTCTCAATGGACTCCAAATTATAATTTAACAAACACAATTTGCATATCAAAAAAATCCCTTAGGCTACATTTGGTAGTCGGGATAAAATTCATGATAAGATATCTTTTATCCCATCCCATGTTTGGTGCTTGTCCATCGAATATATGATGAATATAACTCGGATAAAATTATCTCATGGGGGAGGTGAGATAAGGGTGGATAGGATTTCTAATGTTCATAATACAAAAATTAATTTTCTCGAATAACAAACTTGTTAAATTAAAATAATATTTCAATATAAATAATATTTAAATTTTAATATAAAAAATTCAAAATAACGAAAACATAAAAATAATTTCGTTTTTATTTATTCTTATTTCTATTTATATGTTCAATTTTTTTCCTATCTTATGATATACATTTCATATACATTAATAAATGCATTTAGTATTTATATTTATTAAATATTTTAGGTATATTAGTATAGTTTACTGTTTAATAAAATTTTATTAGAGAATGATGGAAGGAGAAAAAGAAATGAAAAAGAAATAAATTAAAAAAGAGATGGAAAAATAATAAAAAATAAGCAAATAAAAATGAAGTAGGTAAGAGTGTCATAAAAGATTTTTATCATTTTCGTTTGTCCAATTTTTAGGTTCATTTACAATAATATGATGTTCATAGTAAATAATGAATTTGGCAAAATATGAAAGTTTTCGGTTTTATTATTACGATTCACCAAATAATAGATAAAATATAATAAATTTCTTGAATTTCATAACTTATTCTATTCAAATCTATCATGATTAAAAATTCAGACCATCAAACTCAGCCTTGCATTTTTCCACGTACGTTCCGTTCAACCAAATGCACCACAGTGTTATCATCACTTCTCCTTCTCCTTCCATGTACCTGCTCTGCTCGCGAGTCGTACACGACAAGATAAATTCCACCAACTCGCTTCCCAATTCGCCCACTTGTTCCCACCTCCGACGCCCTCCTCCTCCTCCTCGTCTCACATTTTCTGGAAGCTCGTAAGACTTGTTGACATTGTCGCACCCAGCGACCACCGTCACCCCCCCACATGAGCGTGAATCTAAATCTATTGTATTCTTCAAATTTTTCCTGTCCCTGTCGCGGTCATCGACGACAGACACAGGCAAATGGAAAAATGATTTCCGCTTCGAGATCGGATCGATCTTGTCACATCGTCCTCTTCGAAACCCAGTTCCCCAGGTTTCAATAATTCGCATCTAGCGGTAAGATCAGACGTCGCACACGGTTTCCCTTCTTCTGTCAGAAGAAGTCTCTAGTCTTCCTTCACAGTGTGCCGTGTCTCCCTTATAAATCCGTTCTTCTCTGCTTGAATCCCGCCAATCCAACTCAAACCCACGAATCCATGGATCCAGATTCGAGAAGCTACCCGCTCCTCGCCTTCGCTCTCTACCAGATCGACCCCAACACCCACCCTTACCTCCCACCCGACGTCGCCCGCAACCTGTTCGACGAAATGCCTCACTTGACCAACCCGAAGGTCGCGTCTTCCCTCGCCCTGTCCGTCCCCGCCGACGTCCTCCAGACCCGGGCCCTCCTCCACGCCATCGGGCCGCGGCCCGACCCGTCGGCCGTCGCGGCGGCGCGGGCCAAGATCGCGCGGCTCGAGGCGGGCGAGGGAGCCGCCGAGGCGAATAAGGGCGAGGTCGGGATATACAAGGCGGTGGTGAGGTTGGAGGAGATGCACGAGGAGTACGAGAAGCAGCTGAGGGACGCGGAGGAGAAGCTGGTGGAGGCCTACGGGCGCGTCGTCGAGGAAGAAGTGGGAGTAGTTGATGAGGAGGTGGTTAGGGTTTTGAGGGAGGTGGAGGAGAACGGGGCTGTGGAGAGAGTTGCGCTGAGTGGGAGGCACCTCAGGTTTGTGCCCGAGGCCTTTGGGAAGATCAATGGTTTGCTTGTGCTTGACCTGTCTCACAATCTGCTTGAGGTCAGTCCTGTGATTCTTTCCTGTTCTCCATCTAATGATATGCTTTCACGGGTTGATTTGTTTTGGAGAAATGCCATGATTCAAGCAATCTGTTGATTATGAGTTATTAGTGTGATCAGCTATGAGTGCATCTCTCCTTCCGTGAGCGTTGACTAAATAGATAAGAAACCGTGGACAAGTTTGAGCGAAGCAGCTCTCTCAGACTCTCAAGTCTTGTGTTGTGAATTTGTAGACTGCTCTTGGGTTGGTAAATTCTTATGGGGTCAGGATCAATTGGCAAAAGCAATAGGAAGTTGAGGTTCAAGGATGGAAGAATGTGTTGGATTAGTTTGTTTCGAAGATGGAGGCCACTCATCCTGCTATAAATGTTGGTCAGATGAGACTCAATGAGAGGCGAGTTGGTTTTGTAAAGTAAGCCAAAATGCTGGAAGTGGTACCCACAATAGTGTCACTCAACATTCTCAGCAACACTGTCTCGAACATTTTGTAGCCGCATATTAACTAGCTAGTCGTTCTAAAAATAGCCCTAGCGGACAAATTGAAACTATACATCTTCATTGTTGTACTTTAATCTATGCGGTGCCTGATGAGTTGAATGATGATATACCTATTTCAGCATCTTGTTGCATAGTCTCCTGATGGTTCGGCTTTTCGCTCGTGTGATGCAGGTTATTCCCGACTCTATAGGAGGACTAAAGAGTCTGGAGGCGCTCAACGTCTCTTCCAACCTTTTAGAGTCTCTTCCAGATTCCATTGGTTTGCTTGTGAACCTGAAGGTTTTCGATGTCTCAGGAAACAAGTTGAAGGCCCTTCCTGAAAGCATTGCTTGGTGCAGGTGCACTATATTTTTCCTTTGAGTACTGCATTTTCTTTGTCAGACACCAACAACGAACGAAGCCTTTTTTTCACCTGGGATCGTCTGTATGCTATTGCACTTGATTAAGTATATATTTAGCTAAAATCGAGTCCTTAATCCGCGGCAGTTCCCTGAAGGAGTTTGATGCCAGTTTCAACAACCTTACCTGTTTGCCAACAAATATCGGATATGGGCTAACCAATCTGGAGAAGCTATCAATTTCCTTGAACAAGCTCTGTGTGCTTCCACAATCGATCTGCGAGGTGAAATCTTTGCGATATCTTGATGCCCATTTTAATGAGCTTCGAGGCCTGCCACATGCTATTGGAAGATTGGCCTACCTTGAGGTCCTGAACGTGAGCAGCAATTTCAATGACTTTACCGAACTTCCGGATACCATTGGTGATCTTACCAACCTGAGGGAGCTTGATGTCAGCAACAACCAAATCCGAGCTCTTCCTGATTCATTCTACAGGCTTGAGAACCTCGCCAAGCTAAACTTGGACCAGAATCCTCTGGTTGTTCCACCTCTGGAGATTGCGAACAAAGGGGCAGAAGCTGTGAGGGAGTTCATGAGGAAGAGGTGGCAGGACATGCTAGCAGAGGAACAGCTGAGAAGCATTCATGAAGCAAGGCAGCCACAGGCTCAGGCAGGATTGCTTGCATGGGGCGGCTCGCTGCTCAGTGGGCTTGTTTCGGGTGTATCCCAAAGTGTGGCCGGATATCTGGGTGGTGCAAAGGCTCCAAGGGACCCATACTTGGATCAACAGCTTTAATATGGATGTAATCTCTATCATTTCTGATGTTTAAGATCCTGTTGTTTGGAATAATCTTCGCAGTGGTATGTACAGTTAAATAAGAATAATACTTAAAGGTTTATCCGCCTTTAGTTCAAATGAGAGGATATGTACATATATTGTCTACCTTAAAACACTGTAACATGTTGACACAAGAATTTGATACTTTTGGCGTGCTTGCCTAACTCCTGTGGACTAAGGGTATGAGCTGATTTTGAGGGGAATATTTCATTTTAAAGTCGGTTGATCTTGACTCTCTTTGGTCGGAGAGCGAAATCTGGACCCTTTTAGCTGATCAACTTGGAGCTAATATAGTAAGGACGTGGAAATAGAAAATTTATCATAAGTGATTCTTGGATAAGACTGGATTTAAAACAATGATCTGTGCATAGCCACTTGCTCAATAAGGCCATAGTAAAAAAATTCAGTTGGGATTGCTAAAAGCACCCAACCCATCTGCATGGACAAGTTTGAGCATTTCATGAGTAAACTGTCTTCATCTGTTCTTAAATAGAAGATGAAAAGCTGAGCAAGGTATATATCATGTCCTACATCTGAGCTGCAGCAAGCGCCAAACGTAACACGAGGATGGATAAGTCTCAACAAGAGTCACCGGTGAGAAAGCCAAAGGTGACCCTAAACTCCATGGGCCACCAGAAAATGCCCATCATTGGGATGGGCACAGCTGTCAACCAGCTCGATCCGTCGGCCCGCAAGTTGGCAGTCCCTGAGGCCATAAGACACGGGTGCAGACACTTTGACAACGCTAACTTATGTAGATCAGAGCGGTCTCTGGGAGAGGCTATCGCAGAAGCCCTTGATCTTGGCCTCGTGAGCTCCAGAGATGAACTCTTCTGTCACTTTGAAGCTGTGGTGTTCTGATGCTCACAGCGATCTCATTGTCTCTGCTCTACAAGAGTCTCTTGTGTAAGTTCCTCTGAACCTTAGGCTCCTGCCCTTTAAGAGAAAGGTTTCTCTCAATCTTTCAGAGCCCTTGAGCAGTCTCTCCATCCTGTCATCATGTTAGTTTGATTCTGTCATTTGGTATCTGCCTTCAGGATGAGGCCACGCCAGTCTTCCGAGATAAATGGCGCTGTTGGTAAAATGACAAGTGAAATGAAACTGTAGCATGTACCGACAACACGAGTTGTTTTAATCGATGTGACTGCTTCATTTCCTATGCAATAGATTGAGAGTTAGGCGCCTCCCAGTTTTTTTTTTTGTTTAAGAATGGTAATACTAATGCTAGATGTGGACGATTAATTCTGAAATTCACGAATTATCCACATTCCTGTAGAGCATCTTAAACCTTTCTCCGGAGAATTGATCTAATATAAGCAATGTAGTAGTGTCCGAAGAAACGATAATGTGCTAGAAGTCATGATTAGACATGACTTGGTTGAAAGTGGAAAAGCTTATAGTCCTCATAATGCAGAAACCTTCAGCTGGAGTACCTTGATCTCTATCTCATTCCCCGGCCCATCAGTACCAAGCCAGGGAAGTTTCAACACCCTACTCCTGAAGTGGAACTCCTAACCATGGACTTCAAATCTGCCTGGGAAGCAGTGGAAGAATGCCAGAAACTAGGCTTTCCCAAGTCCATCGGAGTCAGCAACGTCTCTTGCAAGAAGCACTAGGGCCCTTTCGCCCATGCCTCCATCTCACCTTTGGTGAACCAAGTGAGTCCATCAAGGCATAACTAGTATTAAAGGCCCATTCTTTCCTCGCAAACTAATCACTTGCCGTTAAGAAAAGTTGGTCAATGGTGAAAGCAAAGTTACTTTGTTTGATAGAAAACGTGCACTCCTTAATTATGTTGTTACTATTTTTTTTTCCGGATTCTCTATGATGACTTTTTTTTTCCATATAGGTGGAAATGCACCCTCTCTGGCAGCAGAAGAAACTCAGAGAATTTTGTAAGTTAAATAACATAACTGGGACGCCATATCCGACCTTTGCGAGCTCGAGGGTCTCCTTGGGGAACAGATCGAGTTTTGGAATGCGAAGAACTCGGCGGCATCGCAAGAACCTGAGGGAGGACAGTCGCTCAGGTCATATTACATACTTAAAATGCAGTCATTGATCGTAAGGACCAAGTCAAAGGAACATATGTATGCTTTTCTCATACCCTTGAAACTCACAAGTATTATCCTGTCCAAAGAATGAAGAAACCAAAACTTGGTGGCAGGTTTCTCTAAGATAAATCATTGAGCAAGAAGCTACTCTGGTGGTTAAGAGCTTTAACAAGACAGAATCAAAGAAAACATAGACATCTTTGATTGTGCCCTATCGGCAGAAGACCATGAAAAGATCGATCGGATCCGGCAACGGCGACTTATGTTGAGGTCGGAATTTGTAACAGCTCATGGGCCACTCAAGTTCCTTGAAGAAGATGTGTGGGATGGGGAGATATGACCTTTGAGTTGACCAAATGAGAGGGTTCTTCCACGTTGATTTTTTACTTGAGTCCTTTTCTTTCTTTTGTAATAAACGACTGCTTAGTTAAGTTGGCTTCGTCTTGCCAAGTCATGCATTTCACCAACAAACTAACGAAGAAGTGGAGGGTTTTGCCAAGATACAAGCCCAATACCACACCACCAAACATGGAATTCCTTCAAAACAGGTCCAAGTCCAAACAGACAGACAACCAACTCCAAATGAAACAACAACATACCAAAAATTCAGTCAATTTCAACGGGAAATGTTCCAATTAGAGCTTAGTTTCAAGTGCGGTCTGAAACTACTTATGTCTAAAGCCAACATAGCCTTCAAAACTATGCTCGACTGCAAACTCCATAATCTTCAGCAGAGCATCACCAGAAGAAACTATTTGAGAGTGCAATGCACTCCAAGTATAGTATATGCTAGCAATCCAAACAAAATTCAGCAACAACTTCTGCACTCCTTTTACCATTTCCCGACTTGGATTAATCCAAGTAAACTCAGAATGCCAAGCCAACCCCCGAGACTTCGGCATACAAAGCAAATATGGAAGTACATTGCATCATGCTTGGGAAGAGAAATTAATAGCATTACACCGACAGTTGAGATTCTAAGATCGCGAGATTCATCACACTGCTTGCAAAACAAGCGAGCAGAGTCGCGACTACTGCTTGTCCATCTTCCATTGAGTATGGCTAGCCAGAAGATAGAATGGAACCTCGACATATCCAGATGAGCATGTACCATGTTCTTAACGACATTCCAAGCATCTGCAGACTGCAGTAATAAATAAACTGTTATTTTACACACTTAACCCTTTAGATATACATAATGGGCAATCAATTTTTTTTCATTTGACCTTGTTATTGAGGCCTTTCCCTTTTTGTTTAAGTTGGCTTATATCCTTTTTCTTAAAGTACCTAATTTAGTCCTACTAAAGTGGCTATGTTTGGAGTTTGATATTATTAGGTGAATTCATTTTTTTTTTCTGTTATTAGTGTTGGGAAAATTACCAAAAAAGTCCTAAACTTTTTGCAATTGTGCCAATTCAGTCCTAAACCTTTTTTTTTTGGCCATTTCAGTCTTAAACCTTTTACAATTGTGCCAATTCAGTCCATCCGGCCACTTTTGGCCGGCCGGCGCTAACGTGGACGCCGGCCATGGGCGAGGTCGAGCTCGCCCGGCGCCGGCGAGGTCACCTCGCCGGCGAGGTGACCTTGGCCGGTCTGCCCAGGGGGAAGAAGGAAAAAAAAAAAAGGAAAAAAATATGAAAATAATGCCACGTCAGCCGGCCGGCCAAAAGTGGCCGGATGAACTGAATTGGCACAATTGTAAAAGGTTTAGGACTGAAATGGCAAAAAAAAAAGGTTTAGGACTGAATTGGCACAATTGCAAAAGGTTTAGGACTTTTTTGGTAATTTTCCCTGTTATTGAGGCCTTTCCCTTTTTGTTTAAGTTGGCTTATATCCTTTTTCTTAAAGTACCTAATTTAGTCCTACTAAAGTGGCTATGTTTGGAGTTTGATATTATTAGGTGAATTCATTTTTTTTTTCTGTTATTAGTGTTTTAGTTAATTTAATCTTCTGATGTTTTCTGTATTTTTATTTTTTTCATTTTTGTAGAGCAATTAATGGCGAAAAAAAGGAAAACTTCTTTCGAGAGATAGAATAATGAAAATATATTTTCACCTTGTAAAAGTCTTGTGCATTGCACATGCTAACGGAAAACATAACGTAGGGTTAAAGGAAAGTTCAGAGGTATCGCGTGACAATTAAAAGTTATGAGACAAACGGCAGATGAATTTTGAATAAATTTTTTTATTTACGTTAATTCATGTCGACATATGAGTTAAATAGATTGCAACGCATTATCTTCAAATATTGTACTTGGGATTTATACCATGGACACGTGGTTCTTGATCAATTTAAGAAATAAATCGGGGCGGTCTCAGCAGGAACAAAAGCTGAGAGACCTACCCAGAAATCCCAATCCCCAGCTATATAATAAAACAAAATTTATAATCCAAAAATTATGAGCTACGAATTTATTGAATCATCCCTTTGTTTTATTATTTTCAGAGAAAATTCAGAGATTTCTTAACCTAAAGTCAAAATTTTCGTGTCATGCTGGTGATGACGTGGTATTGGTCCATATTAATCGAAAGGACAATGTTCGAAAAATGTCCCTGGCGAATTGAATTTTTCTCCAAACTCTCTGCGTTACATTTTGTATCGCTTGGATCATCTCAATCATTAATCATCGACCATGAGGATTAACAATGGATGATCCGAAGGTCATAAATTGTAAGGGCGTGATGGTCTAACTTTTGAAAAAACAGTTCCCACGAAAGTAAATTGATTGTAAGTAGCTTGCAACACCCTTTTCCTTTTCTCTAACATGCGTAACTTTCGATTTTTTTTTTTATCACAAATCGACTTATAAATACCTCAACTCATATTGTTCCGAGCGAAAGTGTTTGCCAACCTTTCCACTTCCCAACTATAATTATTCTCATGATTGCAATAATGTCTGGGAATACAAATTTTAGTTTAAGATTTCATTAATAAACGTTCGCGAGACACTTATTGAATAATAAAAAAATAGAAATTAGAGGTTTTAATTTACCTGTTTTCTCGTAATATGTACAATGAATATAAAAAACATCAAAATATCATTATCGAAGTCTTGTTAACAATTTTCAACATGGCACTTATTAAATCTACTAAATTCACGCTCCACTAGA